CACACTTTAGGAAACAAGTTCATAAATATGTAGTAATGAAGACAACGAAGAAATGTACATCTCGTGTATTTCCGCTGCGACAAAGGAACATCTATGTTCACTTCTTTATTACATATCTTTATAGCCGTTCTTACTTAACAGTTAAGAAATTTGTATACTTATGGTCCATATAGGTTGTAAAGTAAGATAATAAGTTAATTACGTTGTATTACTATTAGTTAATTATTACCATCTTTAATACTTTATTTTACTTTTACTTAACTAATCATTGGTATGCTTAATGTATTATAATATGTTTAATGAATCTTTAACACGTTTAATGAATCACTGATAAAATTAAGGAATCTATATAAATATAATTGTACTGTCTGTCCACGTAACTACGTCGCAGGATTTGGACGGATCTTCACTAAAATTGCTATGGAGGTTCATTAGGTCCATGCGGGAGTACAGATTTTCAGTTTTGCGTTTTATGTTTTTTATGGGTGTTTTCGCGTTTTTACCACTACTTCGCCCCCTGTTGATGGATCTTCACCAAATTTGGTATGGAGGTTCATAGGATACATGGGAGAGATACATACAAAGTTGCGGTTTCAAATTTTGTGTTTTGCTATTTTTATGGGCGTTTTTGCGTTTTTTACAATTATATATAAGGGAAGCAACTTTTCAGGTCCAAAGATAACCTTTCATTAATCATGAATTTACATAACTTCTGTCCATAGGAGGGGCACTCCAACTACTTATTGTTACGTTTAATGAACCACTAGTATGTTTAACTAATCAGTTTAATGAATCGCTAGTGTGTTCAATGAATCAATGATAAAATTAATAAATTATTGATAATGTTTAATGAATCATTGATACGTTTACTGAATTATTCACAAAAATACGGTACCCTATAACCCGAGCACTTTCGAAAGGTGACAAATTGAGAATATGCTTACGAAATTATTGATATGTTTAACGAATCATTGATATACTTAATAAATCGCTATTATGTTTAATGGATCATTAATACTTTTACTAAATTATTGATATGTTTAACGAATCAATTATATGTTAAATGAAACATTGACTTTCTTAATGAATCACTTATATTTTAAATGAACATCACACAGGTTAAAGATTAGTGAGTTTCATCAACAAAAGATTGAAATAAAGAAAAGTTGTAACCTATAATGTAAGTGTCACCTATCTGAAAGCACTTGTATTCTCATTGCACGTGGAAATATTTAATGAAAACCCTATATTTAGAAATATAGTTATTTAAATATCCTTTAATTTGTTATATGTTTGTATATTTATTTAAGAATTTCGCACATAGTTACATAATCCCTAAATTTCAACTGAAAGACTACTTAGAAGATAAATATTTAACAGTATTGATCAAAATAAGCTTTATATTAAAGTAAGTATTGATCAAAATAAGCTTTATATTAAAGTAAGTATTGATCAGAATAAGATTTATATTAAAGTATTGCTAAAAATAAGCCTTATATTGAATTAAGTATTGATCAAAATAAACTATATGTTGAAGTAAGTATTGATCAAAATAAGCTTTATATTGAATTAAGTATTGATCAAAATAAGCTTTATATTGAATTAAGTATTGATCAAAATAATATTTATATTCAAGCCAGGATTACTCAGTATAGGCTCTATATTCAAGAAAAAAATATTCAGAACAGGACTTATATTGAATTAAGGGTTACTCAAAATAAGCTATATGTTGAAGTAAGTA